TAATGTTCAAAATTTGACCCACTGAGTTCTATTTTTGGGTTGTTTTCTAAATGAAAAATTCTACTATAGAAGTTCAGATTTAGGTATTACTGTTTGCTGTCTTCTTCACAGACACTATTTTGATTTGATTTTGAATAAAAAACATGACGAGCAGTGCTGCACATTATTTTGGTTAAAGGTTAAGTAAGCATATTTGACTAGGTGATCACTTGAGGTTTTGTCAGCCTTGCTTACTGTGATTTATAAGAGGTTGGTTGAGTGAGACCCAGCATTTGACTGTTTAAAAGTAATGTTTTGGGGATAAAACCATTTTGTCTGGCTCATTCTTCTTGCTATGAAATAAATTTTTATAGTCTTACTTTATATTCTGATTATCCATTCTACAGTCTGATAAATTACCTGCGAATGTTCACTCTTCATGTTTACCTGGCTCTTTGTATCATCTATTTTTTTTTTATAGACAAGTATGTCTCTTAATAGCAATGCTAACAAATTTTGATTTCTTGTCGTTTTGGTTTGGTTATGCCTAATATAGTAAAATCTCCAATTTAATCTTTACTTCTGAGTGGAATAATTATAGTGTGTCTGTCTTCTGTTGAGTTCACACTGTGTCATTTTGCTTTGGTGTAACAATGGGGAACTATGTATCCCTGGACTGATGTATTTTAGTGAAAATTTGTAGGGAATCGATATCCTTGAGATTCCTGCCCTACTATTGGAACAGGTTTGGACTCTGAAGGTGTAGGGCACCTTTCTGTGTAGGTTAAGGGTTACTGTACAAGTCTGAATTCCTTACAAAATCAGGCTGAGGTAGATTGTTTGCCTCACTGTGTTTTTTTCTTGATTTTTAACATATAAGGCTGCATGAAAGCTGGCTTATGTTATTAAGTGATTATATCCTACATTTACTGTTCTCATATGATTAGCTTATGGCTCTCATTGTAGCCATAGCTAATTTTGCTCTTTAAAAATTGTTCTTCTGTTACGAAGTTGGATGCTGTAGAAACCATTTCATTTCTGCACACCATGTATCTGTATTCCACAGAACTAAAACACTCTTTCTGGCTCACTCAATAAATATTTGCCTCATACAGCATCTGCTTGCTTTCCTTCTCTACTGTGTGAGGGCAAAGCATTTCTTTTTTCTAGCCTGTGAGTTTTTGAATGTGACCAAGTTAGTCATAAGAGAGGTGTAATATCTATGCCAGTGTTTGTGTCCTTTTATCTCTCGGTAACCGAGAGGCATCTTAACCCTGTTGTGTTTATTATATGAAAAGTGTATGCATATGGACAATTAGCACAGAGTGTGTGAACAGCTAGATTATTGTCTGCATGACTTAGTTGCCCTCGGGCTTTGTTTCATTTGACATGAGAGAGCTAAAAACAATTTCCAGGAATCACCTGGATATTTTCTTCTTTCAGCAGCTTTCTCAGATTCTGAAAGACTTCCAAGGCTCTGTGGAAGGTGGCTGATGGGAAGCAAATCATGAATATGAATCAGCATCTCTCCACCCTTATATCCAAAATGCTGTTGCTAGGATATTTTTCTTTGTTTGCTACTCTTATCACATCATCACCTTTTTGAAATTCACTCTCTGTCATCCTTTCTTTAATTACATTCAAATTCAAGCTGCTTGTGTCTCTCTGCAAGACCTTGAGATAATCTTATTCTACCTTTGCATCTGCTCTTGTGTTTTGCTGCCTTTGCCACTCTTGAATCTGAGTTCCAGTTTTTTCTGTTTCGCTCTGTTTTAGTCCTGGATTGTCATCCACTCTGTGTGTGTGTGTGTGTGTGTTTTACTAATGACACTTTGTAACCGTGCATTAGGGTATGCAATTTTCCCGTTCTACTGGTTGTATATTTTTTGTTTAAAAAATGTTGTCTTTTTTTTTGTCAGCCTGTTTTTGCTCTCTCCCCTCCACCACCCTGTTGTTATACTTCATTGCAGAAACGCGCAGCTAAAAACAGAAGTGTGTTCTCAATTCACAAAGGTGAAGTCTTCGTAAAGTTTGATCTGGGTCACCTGTTTATTTGAAATTTTAATGTTGTTAGCTTATTGTTGAAGTGACACTAGAGGCTAACAAAAAGATTATTAAGATGTTTAGTTGATGATTAATTATATTTTATATGAAAGAAATTTCATATAAAAGAAAGAAAATTCAGAAAGAATTTCGATTAAAAGGTATGATAAAGTGAGAGGTCCCTAAGTTATTTGCTGAAATTTAATTTTTCTAGGTGTTTTGGGTTTTTTCTTCTAAAGAATATGAAGGAAGTGGAAGGGAAAAGAAATAGATGCTCTCTTTAGCTTATGTTCTTCTAATGAGAGATGCCACAGATTAATAGTAGAGAATGAATTCTTGTAGCTGGAGGAACTTACAGAAATTTTCTAAGATGTTGTTTCTTCTTCAGCCTGCCTACCCTATATGAGCCCTGCAGCTCAAATATCTTGAGCTTCCAAGTTTGATTATTTCATCTAGGTTGAGGAAGAGCATTTACAGTATTTTTGTTTGGACATACAACTTGTTCTTATTTTCTTAGTGTGGCACAAATTTAAAATGCCTCACAGAACTTCTGTATTTCTTTTGTAATACTTCTTGTAAGCATTTCAAAGTACTTCAAAGTCATGAAACACATTTTTATTTTTCATGTATTAAGACAGCTAATTAAATCAGGCATTTTATGAAGATGACACCAGCTCTCTTTTTAAGACAGTTGGATCAAATAAAGGGTTAAATGTTTTGTAAGCACCTTAGTGAATAATTCTATGGAAGATCACCCAAGACTACTGCAGATACAAATAAACATAGCGTAGGTACAATCTGTTTTGCTTTTTTGACTCTCAGGGATGTGGAAGACGCAAAGAATCAGACATGGGGAAAAAAAAGTTAGTTGTGATATTTGAGGCTATAAAGGTAGTTAGGCAGTTCACTAAGTAATCCAGATCTCCTGGCATTTAGTGTAAGAGCAAGGCCCAAAGATTCTGTCCTATTTTGAGTGATTTTTGAGTACTGTCGTTCTGCAAATAAATGAAAATTCAGCCCCTATTTTCTTCTCTGGAGATTAGTACAAATCCCTTTCTTCTGTATCTTCACAGTTTTCCTTTTCTGTTATAAATCAACAGAAGCTTTTCCTTTTTAAAATTTTGTTTTTTGAAACAGATTTTTCTGTCTCCCACGGTGGTGTCAAGAGGCTGGAGACCATGGTAGTAGTAAAAGTTGGGGCTGTCTTGAGACCGGGGGCAGGCGAGGCCACGTATACTTCTCACACGCTTGCAGGCTTTAATACTTTACAAAGCATTAGATGGGAATTTCTTTCCCACTGCACTTGGAAGCTGTTTAAGGTGCTGTTTTGAGGCTGCCTGTAGACTTGGGAGTATGTAACTGAATACACTTCAATCACATTTTCAGCTTTATTTTAGTTCTAAGGTGATCTCTTGTGTGCTCTTTCAAATGAACTGATTTCTGATTGCAGAGTGGGACCTCTGGATCTTTTTTAAAAGCCTGATCTCTTTTTGGTTATTATGGAACTTGAAGTAGACAGTAATAGATGAGTCATCTGATAGGTAGGTAAAAGGCAGTATACAGGAGAGACCTTTATATGGCTCTCAAGTCCAAATTTCTTTCTGAAAAAATATGCCAGCAGTACTTGAACCTTTCTAGTTCCACTTGTGAAATGAATGCTGTTTTCATGAAATGAGTATGTAAGAGACGCAATGCCAGAAACTATTAGATGCCTAACTGAAGATGCTCAGAAATTCTTTGGAGAATTGTAATTTGTTAGCTAGAAAATTGTCAGAATATTCAAGCAAAGAAGCCTGCCTAGCTGGTGCTGAAAGAGCTGGCCCACCAGCCCTGTGTCCTCAGCCATGTGCTCCCACAGGTGGCCCTGTGCTGGCATCAGGGGTCATTTGACACTGGTAAGGATCTAAACCATGAGACAATAAATTTTGTTTAAAAAGAGAAAAAAAAAAAAAAAAAAGTCATATTCTGGTGGTGTAGGTCCTTGAATGAACTTGCAGGGAAATAATGTTTTGTCGGAGTAGGGTAGATCTTTCAGCTCTGAGTCAGAAGGATGAATGGTTCCACTGCAGCCAGGAGAAGGGAGGAGGGAATAAGCTCTTCCTGCTTGGTCACAGTGACTGCTTCAGAAATTAGAGTTTTCTTTTATGATCTTGCATTAAAAAATTTTGAATTCTTCCTGTGGTAGCCTGTATTACAACAAATCTCATTGACTATTTAGGACTATGTCTTTAGTTTTTTGATGTTAAGCTCCATAATAGCAGCTCATAGAAAGCTTACTTTAATTGGTCCTTAAGTATTGGTTTTTTTTCAATTGGCTGATGATCAGGATATTGTGATAGACAGGGTTTGTTCATAAATGTGCCCCCTGTGTTTTTGCTTTTCTGGATAACTTGTATGTTGTATATTTAAAAGTTAATACCTGCTGTCTTCCAGAGGTATTTGTTTTTTGAAGTCTTGAGATGCTCTTGAATTCTGACAAAGAAAACTTACCAATTGAAGTTTTCTAGTGTATATAATCAGTAGATATTGACGCCTCCTGATTTATGCTGTGAGTTTTTTATATATATGATCTATATCTATGTAGTTCTGAACACAGAATGTTGAACACCAGATACAGGAACCTGTAGAAAAAAGAATTGGTACTTAATAATCTGGAGTAATGGGTATCCCATATAGCAGAGTGTAATGGCTAATTAAGCTACTAATCATCATTTGGGGATGTAGATAGAGGCTAAGATCAGCTGAAGAATATTTAGTTTGGGCTTTGTGTCTTCTGAAAGTCTATATATGTTGCTTGGAGTTCAGTGAGGCTTTGGGGACAGTATCTATTTTCTCCACATATGCAATCTTGTTTGTAGTTTATATGCATATTTGATATGTAGAATATTGGAACAAGTGCCCATAAACAATGAAGAGTTGGCTGTTTTACAAGGCTTTGACAACTTCAATACTTGTGTATTTCTGATTTTGCATTTTAGGAAATAAAATAATGCTAGTGAAGCAATTGTTTTGCTGAAGTTCAAGTTTTCAGGCTCACTGCCATTATGGGTAAGTATTGTGTGTAACGTATATAAAAAATTAATTCAGCTACTTTTCGTTTATATTGAAGACCAAAAACATTCATGTAATACTATTCCTCAGAAATGTGTGCTTTGGCAATGTAACTCAATATAACATCTACATGAAAGGCAGTATTCAGCTGCTTTGCTAGTACTGAAAATATTTCTTTTTTTTTTTTTTTTTTTATTGGAATATAGCACTTTTCCCTCACTATGTTGTAACTTAAAAATCCACATATAGGAACTTGAGATTCATGGTATTAGGGTAGTGAACAGTATTTACTGCGCTCTAAATGGTATTGGCTATTGGGGAAAAAAAAATTCCCACAATGTATGTATTAAAGAATTTTATTGTATTGTCTTCTGTCATTGAAGTGCAAAGCCAGGACTGTGTAAGAAAACTTGTTTTCTAAATATGTAGCACATTTGTATTACTTTAAATTGGATGTTGATTTTTCAAGTTGTACATGCTTTTTAATAAGTTGACCATGTTGTTCTTGTAAACACTTATGAGTGCTCACTCTCTAAAAAAACCCCCCAAAACAAAAAAACCCAAACAACAAACCAACCAACCAAAACACACAGTTTTGTATCACTTTTGTTTATCTTCTGTTGTTATGCTAATTTTTTCGTAACCTCATGCTTAATAATAAAATAGCCGAATCTAGGAATACAGCACTCTTCAGATTTCTGATAATCTCCAGCATTTTGTGTGAGAAATTAATATTGAGTCTGGATACTTGGATATTCAGTAAACTTTAGATGTTTTGCCACAATGCTTTGGCTTCTTTTGCATGAAATATGCTAATGACCCCTGGGAATCAAACCTCCTCCAAACAACTGCTAAAAGAACAATTTTTTTTTTTTTTTAATTGCTGAGCACTAGAATAGGCTATAATGCAAGAAAGTAGCTTAACTTCTTTAATTGTAGCAAGTTTTGAAGTGTGTTTTAGTGTGAGAAAGGAATAACTGAGCTGCAAGAATGCTTTCAGTTCTGCCATTAAATATTGCTAATAAAACTTGCTTTAATAGATTTGCATATCTTAGTAGAGTTATGAATAATGACAGCATGACTGATGATCAAAGTTGCTCATTTTCAGACCAGCTTTCTGATCTGTTAGGAATCTATTAAATTAGAACACAGAAGTCCCACAATTTCCTGATATCACAAATATATTTGTTTATATTTGAATAGAGTGTGAAGAAATTCTCATCATCGCTGAATACCTGGAATGCTTACGTGCTGATTTTAATGCTGAGTTTTACTCAAGTCCATGTCTGAGAAATACTTTTCTTTGTAAATCACAGCACGTAGCAGTGATTCTTAAAAAAAGTTATCCGTTGTGAAGTAGTATGAAGGCATACAGTCACCACCTTTGTAGATAAATTTTGTTATCCAGTGTTCTAGATGCATGTTGAGTATAGTACTGTTGCTGTGGCAAGGAATCAATAGAAAATGTTAGTCATTAATATATCTCCCTTACTGATGGATGTACAGGCTTCTGAGCTCCGAAGTGCTTTCCTGTCTAAAGGAGCAGCCCAGTTCCAGGGCAAATGTTGTCTAGCATGACCCGAGGCCTTCATAGCTGCCACAGATCATCAGGATTTAGGATTCTATGTGAACTTGAAATCTAAGCTGCATAGCACTCCTGCCCCTAATAAGAAAATGTATATTTGCAGTTCTGGAAAAGTTTTGCGGTGTTTTGTTTTTGGTTTGTTTTTAAAATACTCTGTGGGCTGTCAGCAGATGTTCAAACAGTGGAGCTGTTCCTCTGGGACTTTGTGTATGCTTCCTGTGTGCATGGCCATACCTGTTCAGTACAGAGGAAAAATCATTTGAAAATACTCCGTTTTCTTTTTCTTTATTTTACAAACTGGGGGAAAAGTATGATTACTAGTTAACATCTTATCCATGGACATTATTTGAAACAAAATAGATAAACCTTTTTTTTTTTTGACCCACCCTTCTCTTATACAGCCTACAGTTCTGTAGAGTTGTCAATCTCTGTTATGACTTCAGTCTTTCAAACCTACCATCTTAGTATGTTTACTGATTAAGCTGTTTATTTCCTTAAGCACTATTAATGATATATAAAATAAAAATGTTTGCAACATGGCAGTATTTTTTTTTTTAATTTGGCAATTATATATTGAAGTGTAATGTGGACTTTTAGATTTTTAGAATAATGCCTGCCTAATTGTGAAATGAGACAGTAGTGCACTTCAAATGTAGCAGTCATTTATACTTCTCTTATCTGGTATTCTTCTCTGAGCAGATGAGCAGCAAGCTTTGAATTCAATCATGCAGGATTTGGCTGTGCTTCATAAGGCCAGTCGTCCTGTCTTGCCCCAGCAAGAAACAGGAAAACCAAAGTCATCTTCGCCTAAAAAACAGGTAATCCTTAATATCCTTACTAACCTATTGAACATGGAATGTCCTGCTGTGACTTCTATAATTATTTTTCTTGCCAGACCAGTGAGCATACCAGAATGTGCTATTAGTCTCCCACGTGTGCTGCCATTTTCTTTGTTCATGTTCTTAAACTAGCAGCAAAATGAAATGGTGGTCTTTCAGACCAGGTCATAGGGTATGCTTAAATGACTCTGACCCTGATGAACTGAAGATTGTAGGGGTATTTTGGCACTGTATGTAGATGATGATGTTTATTATTATTATTGTTGTTGTATTAGATTATTTTAAAATATCAAGGTGTGGTAGTATCTCTTATTTGGAACACTTCTTTAGAATCGATTTTGTAAGTATATTAGATTGCTCAGTTGTCAGCTATATCATACTAAAGAATATCAGTAAAGCAGCAAAAACACACGTAAGCTCCTTTACTGCACCTTTGACCTCAATTTTTTTGTTTGTTCATATGCTGGAAATGTGAGTTCTTTTCAGCTGTATTTTTTTTCTGCAGATAATGAACACAGATAGAAGAGTAGTAAATATTTAGTTGGTAGGCTTGAACTACTATATAGAGAGATTAGGAGAGGAGAGGATGTAGATTTTTACCCAAATTGTTGTAATAGCCCTATTGAGTTAACTGTATGTTTATTTGATTGGATCCTTAATTGACTGTCCAATATTTTATGAAACTTCAGGTTGTGCAGTCTTGTTTTAACCTGTTAAAGATCAAAGTATTTGAATATATTTGGTTCTTAAACTGTCAAAAACCAATGGCTACATATTTTTAATTCTGTGCTTTAAAAGCTGTAAGAGTTCAGTATGTAACACAGGGGTACTTTGCTAGTGTCACATAACTCACTTCTGAGCTGTGACTTTAGACATTGTAGTAATGTGCATATATGATTCAAAATCATTTTAATATAATGTTTAGAAAGCTAGAAGAAGAATAGTTTAGACATTTCTGAGTTTAATTGTGGTAGTGGTGAGAGGGGAAATACATGTTTATCATTCTGTTTAAATTTGTGAATTTTGAAAGTAATCATTTATGAATCAAGTAATTCTTTTGGAAGATACAACATTGTTATTTGGATATAATCTCTGGTTGAATGCATTATTTTTTTCCCTGCAATAGCTGCTAATACCATTTGATTCTTAAAATTATGATTTTGCAACACAACTTTATTTTCATGTAACTTCAGCTATTTACAAGCATCCTTGTTGTTGGGAAATTGATTTAATGAATGCTGTCCTAATTACATGTATGGCTTTCTATGGAAATGCTTATAAAACAAGATAAATTTCTTAAGCCTGGAATGCTCAGCTCCAAAGTGTACATAAAAACCTGTTATGGTAGTTAAATCTGCCTAGCTGTTCACGATAGAGAATTCTTTGGTAATCAGTTCCATGCTGAATTTGAAATAATGAATCTGTTATAATATTAAAATATATTGATAGAAAATAATGTGTTTACTTACAGAAGCATTTGTTGTACTTCGGAATATTTTTTTTTTGTATTTTTTGCACACTTTAAGCCTCTATCAGATGCCTTAGTGGATGTAGCTTGTTAAAATGATTGGTATATTGGGAAGGACAGAAAATAAATATGGACTGCTTAAGGATTTTACTTCTGGTGTAAGATTATTGAATGGGATTTCCTGGCCTTTATTAAAAGAGGTAGCAACAAACTAATAGTGGTTCCTTTATATCTTTTCTTACAGAATGATGTTAGAGTCAAATTTGAACATCGAGGTGAAAAAAGGTAAGGTGGGAACACAACAGCCTTGCCTTTTAATTACTTAATCTTGTTGAGCTCCTATCATAAAGTTTCAAAAACTGTTTGAAGTGTTTCAGTTACCTGAGTGTATTTGGTTTGAGCTTAAATTTAATTTTGATATGAACACAATTTAAGGAGAATGAATCTGTTTAAAATGTGGGCTCTAAGTGTACATAAATGCAGAAGTATCTTACTGTATTTATGTCCCGTGTAATATCCTTCATTTGTTTACCCTTGAGATAGATGCTTGTAGTCTAGAACAAGTACTTAGATCATTAGCACAATCTCAAATATGAGTAGACCAGCAAATATTTTTTTTGCTGCATCGTGCATAATAAATGCATGATACTATGTTGATATTGTAACACCCAGAGGAAGAAGCCTGGGTCTTAAAGCTCAGTATTGGATTGTACTTCGGAGGAACCAATCTGATAAGTGTAATACAAAAATGTATTAGACTTTATAATTAGGTTGTTTTCGATGATAATTTTGAATAATCCGTTAAAATTTATTTTCATTTTGTGTATGAGGTGTGAATGATGTATATGCTTAAAGTATACAAATGTCTATCTCTCTATATCTCTGGTCTGATGGATGCTCAGAAGCTTTTACTGAAATCGATCTACAATTCCATGCAGAACTGGTTTGTGGACAACTCATTTTGTCTGTTTGTCTCCTCCTGAAAGCGTAAATCTACAGAGAAATGGTTATAGAATAAGGTCTTGAAAAGCAAATACTATTCTGGTCACACTATTTGTCAACAGAAATGGTAAATTCCTGAAGTAAAGATTGCTTCATAATGAAACATATGCTACTTCTGGTCACCCCTTACTGTGATGTGCAGTAGATCAGTGTGCATCCTTGCTGATTACACTATGTGCTCTCTCTTTATGTTAAGTAACATTCTAGGTAGTAATGTTCAGAAAAGTGATAGAAAGAAGCTGAAGAACGTCACATGTAACAGTGGATTGGTAATGGTTGAGTGCTACAAGTAAATTGGAGATAAGTCTTTTCAAAAGCTTTGAAATCAAGGACTCTTCTACCTAGCAATTTCTTGTGAAAATAAGCGGAAGCATGAATTTAAAATAGAGAACTCTTTACTCACTGCCAGTCTGCACAGACAGTGCGTTTTTGCAATTTATCTTAATTCACTTTCACAGTGGACTAAGTTAATTGATTCAATATGAATACAAGTAAAATTAAGTGTGTGCAAACACACCTTTCCCAAACTTTTATGCTGATGGGCCTAGCTCTGTTTTGGACTGTCCCAAGTAACTTGAGCCTGCTCGCCCAGGGGTGCTGGGCAGCCCAGGCTCATTGCTCAACATGAGTTATAATACTTTTGTTGCCTGAGCATGTAGACCTAAAGATAAAATAATGAAATTATGCAAGAAAAATAAGTTATGCAATGGATTTCTCACTAGTTTTTATAAAGGGAAGTTGAAAAGAGAAGTGATTCCAGAGTTTTTTTCAGTAGTGAATGTGGCACTCTGTACCAAGGAGCATGCAGTGTGATGGGCAGACTTCTAGGCTTGCTAAACAAATTGTTAACTACAGTGAGAATTGGTGGTGGTGTTTGGGTTTTTATTAAGATTTTTTTTTTTCCTAAAATAATTTTTAATTGGAAGTGGCCTGGCTTCTGGCCTCATTTCAGTGAGAAATATTGTTCCCTAACCAGTGTACCAACTGAAACACTGATAAAAGGGACAGTTACCCTTTGCTAACTTTTCCTCTTCACAAAATTTGAGTGCTGTTTCTTTTTTGAGTGTGAATTGAAGGTACCTTACTAGCTTAGTCACTTATAAAAACTTTTTCTGTTTAATGATGTTATGTCTCAAATAATATGATAGTTTTCAATAGTAAAAGGTCAGTTACCAGCATTTTGGGCTATTTGGTTTGAGGAAACATTGAGTTAAAAGAAAATCTGTGTTGTTGCCCTACAACTGCACCATTCTCACAGGAGCGCACTTGAAGCACGGTTAGTGATGGACTCAGCAGTTTGACCATGTAATTCATTATGGTAAAGATGGTGACATTTAGTTACCGTCCTCAGATTTCCAAAAAATGGGGGCTGTAGGAGTAGTTGCTTTCCGATGCTTATGCTTGTTAACCTATGGTATTCCACTGTCGTAGCTTTCCAAAGTAGAAAACTTTAGAAATTTCTAAGATTTTTCCTGTGGAATGGAGGCATGTAAAGCATTAAGTTAAGAAAGAAGCCATGTGCAAGCAAGTAAAATAGTCATAATGTGATTATCCCTTAACTTTTTCGCTGCTTTTCCCTCTTTTAATGACTCAAAGTATGGAGGACAGTGAATAAAGCATAGCCTCTTATGGTGGTCTTAGTAAGAAATTTAATTCTAAGCCTGCTCTTAATAATGAGTTGCCAGATTTTCATAAGAAATGGACAAAAAAAATTCTTTATAACTTAAATTGTGTTTTAGGATTCTGCAATTACCAAGGCCTGTTAAACTTGAAGATCTTGCAGCTAAAGCTAAAGTTGCTTTTGGACAGACTATGGATTTACATTACAGCAATAATGAGGTAATATTCTGTGTTTTCTAAATTCTCAGTGACTTGTACATTGATTATTTTAAGGCTGAAATTTGTTCTTGTGAGCAGTGAAAACCACTCCTGTGACAAAACTTACTCCCATGACAAAACCCCAGATTTCTAATGTGTGTGTTCTCAAATATATAAGGCTTGTCTAAATTAGGATAGATAGGAGATACATGAAATGTTTTATGAGGAGAGTCATATCTTAATGAATTATGTCTCAGACTTGATTTGGAATGGGTAAATTGTCTTTCTACTCTGCCACAGTCCTGTTGCATGACTTTGGGAAAGTCCTTACCTCTTTGAACTTTGCCATGTTTGTAAATTTGAAATAACATTTATGCTTTCTTGTATACTTTTTTTTCTTTAGGGATTAATCTTGTTGGATAATAGCTGGAATGCTGCATTTAGTAATGTTTAGATCGGAAAACTAAGATTAACTGTTGCTCCTCTTAAAGTGGCTGGTTCACAAAGATTTCTTGGGAACAGTTCTACCACTGACAAGCCACTTAAGCCTCATCAATATTACTTTCACCTTTCCTTTAGAAGTAGAGATGGAATTATTAATAGGAAACGTATTTACAGATGCAGGATCCATTCTTAGGAGTTAGTTTTGGTTTTTGCCTTGAGTCAGCAAAGTGAATGGAGGATTATTTGTGTGCTTGCTTATGCACAAAATAATTGCTGTATCTAATCTGCATCTTTGCAGAAGAAAATGCCTGTAATGGCTGTTTGTTAGTTACTCACTACCTTACCAGGCATTTCTGTGAAACTAATTTTCAAAAGGAAGTATTCCAACTTTTGGACAGTATAAAGATCAGAAGAAATGGCCATTCATGATGCTTTAGCCTCAGCTCTTTCTTCTGATAGATTTTTTTTTTTTTTTTTTTTGCATTTGAGCAGATTTTCTGCTTGTCAACTTCTGCACTAGTTGGCAAATCATCCCATAACCTTTCAGAAATGTGATGGTAATGGTAATAACCTGTCATTAGCATTAAGACTGCAACTTAAAACGAACAGTATGCTCATTTGTTACCAAGACCTTCCTCCCTCATTGCCACTTCTTTTTGTATATAAGAATTGTATTTCAACTGATGTTGTATTTGAACATCACTGACTGAGACTACTCACAAGTAGAATAGATTTTTCTTTTTAAATCTATATTGCATTGTTCCTTTGTTATAAGCAAAAGTCATAATTTACACTCCTGAAACATAAGCCCAATTTTTTTTGTTATAAACTTGGATCTCAAGTGCACTTTAGTGGTGTAATGTTTTCTATTCTAAAGATGCATGTATGCCAAGTTAATTCTAATTAATTAGATCCAAGTAAGATTCTAGTGAGGACCGCAGTTGTTCCATGTGGATCACATAATGCCTGATACACTTCCTTAACAAATTCTGTTTTTTTAATGGAAAAATTCTGTTATTTGTTTGAAGTTGCATTACTATAATTGTAATAGTGTGAAATACAAAAATGTGCTTTATTCTCTCTAAAATAGGGCTTATTTTTATTTATCTTATACTTGCATTAATTTAGGTGATGGCAAATACATTGACAGTGTTGCACATGTTTCTCTGAAACTTGTAGGATATTAAGTTGTACATATGTAAAATGGTTGCTCCTTCAGTGTGAAGACTTGTTCCATCATGCTGTACCTGTTGAAGGCACATGAAGGAAGCGTTAAGGTTGAATATCAGACATTTTGGTGCTAACTTGAGACATCATTTAATAAATTTTAATTTCAAGTTGTTTGGAATGAAAGGAAAGATAGCTTCAGTTTATTTATCTGCACTTCTTCATTTCTTTCTTGTGTCCTGCTTAAGATATCTTTTTTTTTTCCTCCTTTTCCCCTTTTTGTAGCTTGTAATTCCATTAACCACACAGGATGACCTGGACAAAGCTGTTGAACTGCTTGACCGTAGTGTTCATATGAAGAGTCTGAAGATACTGCTTGTAATACACGGAAATACACAGGTATGAACTGATATGCTAAATGTCTTTTTCCTCAATTTTCATATTGAAATATAATTTATATCTTTTCTTAAAGATGACATTTTTCCAATTGCAGAATATTATTGATTGTTTATTCAGTTCACTCTAAGTGTCTCTTAGCATTTTGTATTGACTTGGTTTTAACTTTTTTTCTGAATCCTGTTCCTCTCTCATTGTTTGTCTTGCCTGCAGTGGTAGCAAAGTGTTCCTTAATAGGGTGGTGATGTGGTACAGATTTGAGAAGTACATAGAATTTAACTAACTGTAGTTACTTGAAACTGTTCTTTAAGTCATATGTTGATGACACTCCTTTGTGGCAAGTTAAATATTTTTTGTAGCCAACAGTAGCAGTGGACTACATGCTAAATAGTGAGTTATTCTGGCATTATCTAACACCATTATATTGATAGGGTTTCTATATTAGTACATATTGAAAATTATTTTTAAATATTAAGAATGAGCTACTAAAATAGGTGAATTTTTATATAAATTGGTAAGCTTCTTTTTGACTGCTTGAAAAAAAGGAATGACCTGCACAGAGCCTATAAAGTTTGTCAAGTATTTCATGGTCAGGAGTATAAGGTAATAACTGCAGTTTGTAATATGTCTGCATTTTCAGTCACCCAGTGTAAATAACGTGGAACCCTTGCCCTCACTGGAAGATTTAGATAATATAGTGTTTGGTGTGGCAGACAGAAAAAGGCGACTGTCTGTAATAGGTAAGCTTCATATTTCAGTAGCTTCAATGGTAAAAACTTTCCTTTTGTAATATTCTCAACACAGACTGTTTGAATTTCTCTCACCGATCAATGACTCTACTATAAAGTTTGCACTCTGGGGAGTGGATTTTGAATTTTAAGTGAAAGCTGGTTTAAATATATATAAGATACAGAAAATTAACAAAAAAAAAATCACAAGTAAATAAATCTATGTAGAATTATTTGAGGTAAGTGATGGGTATCCTAAAAAGTTGGTGTTAGTACTCCCCTTTATTTTCAGATACGGGACTGAGTTACTGAAGAATCTGTTTATATGGCAATTAATTTCTTTGCTTAATTTAGGACTCCCGCATTTTTTTTTGATCTTAATGTGTGAACATGTGTTTAAGATAACTTATTTTGGCATTGATATAACATTTTCGCTTATTCATGTTTTAAAATTGGTGTGATGTTAACTTCCATATTTAATTATGAAACTAGAGAGTTTAATGAATAATTTTTCAGACAATTAAATAAATTTGTTATCCACAGAGGTATTCATGTTCTTGCAGATGTAATTTTCTACAAAGGAAAACTGAAATTCTCAAGAGTTGGAAAGGATTAGTTAACATGAGTGGAAGCACTGGGATTTTTACTTTGTTTCAAAAGAATAAATTTACCTAGCTAGATGTGTGGGCAAATTATATTTCTGTTCCTATAAAATGAAAATTCTTTTAATGCTATTGAGGCAGCCCTGCCCCAAATTTTTCATAATTCCTGGACTAGAGTTTTGGAAATGTTATGCGTAAATCTTGTATTGCATAGGCATTTGGGAAGTTTCTAAAGCAGAAAGTGATCCAGGCAGGCTCAGTGCCTATGAAGCATTTGAATAAAGCCCCTGGATTCTGTCGTAGTGAAGAGACTGTGACTAGCCCTTTTCTTTTAAAAGGTTCTAATACTCGTGATAGAAGTTCACCTCCCCCAGGATACATTCCAGATGAGCTGCATCAGGTGGCCCGAAATGGGTCCTTCACTAGTATCAACAGTGAGGGTGAATTCATTCCAGAAAGTATGGATCAGGTATGTGTGTGACTTATTAAAATTAAAGGTTTTGTTAGGTTACTTTATGAAATACTGTTGTTCAAGAAGGATATGGGATTGTTAGAAAGAACAGCTAAAAAAATGATGACAACCGTGGAAAACATGATCTGTGAGAGAAGGTTAAAATAGTGGTGGTTGTTTAGTCTTGTAGAACCTGTTTTTTCTCTGTAACTCTCTTCAATTATTTAAATATGTTGTTACAAGGAGAAAGATAATATTCTTAATTTCCGTGATAGTTGAGTGAGGTAGTGATAGATATAGATTACAGCAAGAGATTTCTACATTAGAAAGCAAAACCACCTTTATTTTAATGAGAAGGATATGTAAACAAGACCAGTTTTACAGCTTTCCAGGTTACTAAAGGAGGTTTTAAAGATGAGTTTGGATCTATCAGAATTATTTGGACTCAGTTGATACTGTGTTGGGGTAGAGGCAAGGAGATGGCAACAGGCCTGGTGTAAATAAGCTCTGAAATACTTTCCATGGTCACGTTTTTGTGTGAGGATCACAAATGTATACTATTTTGTTCTCATTATTCACCTGCATTACTGATGTGGGACAGCATGAATAAAAATCCTGCTCTCTGAATATCAAAACTGCCCTTAAAAACAGCAAGAAAAGGTGAGGGAATGTAATGGCTCACACAGTTGGCAATGAAGAAATATATAATTTAAGGAGTAAACAAAAAATAATGCTGTGTACCTGGATCACTTCAAATCAGTAGAATAGTTTGGGTTGGAAGGGACCTTCAAGATCATCTAGTTCCAAACTCACTGCCATGGGCAGGGACACCTTCCACTAGACCAGGTTGCTCAAAGCCCCGTCCAGCCTGGCCTGGAACCCTTCCAGGGAGGGGGCAGCCACAGCTGCTCTGGGCAACCTGTGCCAGGGCCTCACCACCCTCACAGTAAACATTCTTTCTAATTTCTAATCTAAATCTACCCTCTTTCAGTTTAAAACTGTTACCCCTTGTCCTATCACTACACTCCCTGACAAAGAGTCCCTCCCCATCTTTCCTGTAGCCCCCTTTAAGTACTGGCAGGCCGCTAGAAGGTCTCCCCGAAGCCTTCTCTTCTCCAGGCTGAACAACCCCAACTCTCAGCCTGTCTTCATAAGGGAGGTGCTCCAGTTCCCTGATCATCTTTGTGGCCTTCTCTGGACCCACTCGAGCAGGTCCATGTCCTTCTGATGTTGGGGGCCCCAGAGCTGGACACAGCACTGCAGGTGGGGTCTCATGAGAGCAGAGTAGAGGGGGAGAATCCCCTCCCTCTACCTGGTGCCCACACTTCTCTTGGTGCAGCCCAGGACACGGTCGGCTTTCTGGGCTGCAAGTGTGCATTGCTGGCTCACAGTCAGTTTTCCACCCACTAGTGCTCCCAACTCCTTCTCTGCAGGGCTGCTCTCAATCCACTCTTCGCCCAGCCTGTATTTGTGCTTGGGATTGCCCTGACCCACGTGCAGGACCTTGCACTTGGCCTTGCTGAACTTTGAGGTTTGCACAGGCCCACCTCTCCAGGTCCCTCTGGATGGCATCCCTTCCCTCCAGCGTGTCGACCACACCACACAGCTTGGTGTTGTCAGCAAACTTGCTGAGGGTGCATTCAATCACACTGTCCACATTGCCAACAGCAACAAGTTCTTGTTGATGTTGGCACTGTATTCACGAATGTCAAGCAGCAATGGTTTTTATGAGCTGACTAAATGATAGAATAAAAATAGAGGCAAAGAGATCGTGGAATTTATTGCACAATTTCAATGACTGAGTTGGGAATAGAGACTGAATCTCCTAATTTTCAGACCAGGGTGCTATTCATTATCATAGCCACGTGGTCAGATCCAGCCCAGGCCTGGATTCATCCACTGAAATGATTACTTTTGGTCTGGGCAAAGTCATTTTTGGTCACTGACTGGTCAGACAGACAGATGATCTCTGAGGCCCAGGATGTCCTTTAAGTCCAGAGTACTCAAGAAAAATGTAATCTCTCATGTATTTGTAATCTGGGAGTGGAGGGCTTTGCTCTGCTCTGCTGTTGACCTCCTTGAGCACAACAATTCACACTCTGACAGCAAACCCCACACTTTCTTTACAGAAGAGATGGTGGGTTGAGTAGAACTGAGCTATGGTCTGCAAGTTGGGCCATACTGCATTAAGTTATAGAGGTAATTAACATGGCAGCCAATGGGCTTTTTTATCTTTCAGGACCCACTGTTCAGCATGAGAAAAGAGGAATATAATTGCTGAACCTATAGTAAATGCTGTCCTCCCTAATATGGAGTTCATTTAAGTTTGAGTTTGCAGATTGCAAGCTCACTTTATGGGTGTTATTTAAGTCCTTGGTGCTTGGCGAAGTATGTGCCCAGGACCGTTAAGATGAAGCACACACCATAAAAATTAGAGGGGTAACTACTTAATTGATAGCAAAAGACTGGTGTCCAATATAGAAAAAAAAAAAAAAAAATAGGTGTTCTATAATATATCAAAACAAACATTATTTTTGGAAGGAACTCGTTTTAAGACAACAGATGAGCTTTCCATTCTGTTTTTGAGAAGCAGGCTGGTAAAATTGCCAAGTTCAATAATTCAAAATTTAGATTCTGTTTCTACTTCTACTGAAAAATAAATCTGTAAAACGTTTCAGATTGCTTTACTGCAAAAGATAAGGGAGTGATGGTTGCCTATCGTTAAACTTAGAACTTTAAGGATGGTAGTGGGAGATAAAGCAAATGTCAGCAAATAGAAATAGCTGGTAATCAAGGGGATGCTCTTGATTATCAGACCATTTCTTTTTCTCTGGATTAGAGTTTGAGAAACAGAAAGTGTTGATGATTGTTTTTATTATGTAATAGATCTGGCCTAGTCAGCTTTATGATTTCTTCTAACTGATACATGGCAGATTTCACAGCTCATAATCATCGATTACTAGGTTGTCAGAGGTGCTTTAGGGAAAAAAGTAAAAGTAAAAATATGTCTTTGGTGCTTTTGTAAACTCCAGTTTCCCATGAAAGTTTATTTTATATGAAGCAGAATTTTGCTTTGGGTGAAAAGGGAGAGTATTTATAAATGTTATGCATTCTCCTTCTTTCTCCTTCCATTTTCTCTCCAGTTTTATTTAAAAATCTGCGTAACTTTTTTGGAGTCCTACCTAGAGATAAATGTCTAAAAGCTTTGCTTTACAACTTATGTACAAAGCATGATAGAGGATTAAATACCTTGACTATATTCTAGTTAGATGTGAGAAAAATTAGAGTCCTTTCAGGATTGCAGAATGCAGTACAGGCTCAACTATGTCGGTGAACTATTTCTCTAGTAATTAATATTTCTGGTTTGTTTTTTTTTTTTTATTAGGCATTTCAAAATGGAAATATCCAAGTATTTATTTTTTTAAAAAGCCAAAAACTTGAACTTGTTGGTCTTTCTCTGTTGTTTATTAGATGCTGGATCCACTGTCTTTGAGCAGTCCTGAAAACTCTGGCTCAGGAAGCTGTCCCTCACTTGACAGCCCTTTAGATGGGTAAAAATTACTTGCATTCATTATTTAACTTTATTAGACTGCATAATATATCAGTTGTAACAGAACTCTCCAGCAACAATTATTACTGAACTTCTTCCAGAAATTCCTCCGTAAGTTATAGAACATTTATAAAACTTTAGTGAAACTTACTAATGCATGTAAAATAGAAGTGCATAAAGCAGCTTTCTATTAAAAAAAAAAAAAAAAAAATCATTTGAAACACAAGAATTTAGATTTCAGATCCTACATAAATATACTGAAGATTTTTACTAAATTTTGCCAGTCTTACGTATATATGAAGTGTAATCAGTGGCAGTGAGCCACCCCATCAAATCTACGTTTCTCAGTACTGCTATATGAAGCAAGCTTCCCTTTTCTAAGGTAGAGAGTACCCAATTTAAGAAAGAAGGCCGAATCATTTAAAGACTTCAACAGACTATCCCTTCCTTTTCTTTGCAATTATTGTCCATTCCTCTCCCCTTGTTCCCATTGCAGACTTTCCACTTCTTTTTCTTTGTTTACACCTGACAGTTAGTAAGAGGCAGTGTGTACTGTGGTGAGTCTGGAGATCTGGTTTGATTGACCCGTTAGGAGGTTTAGGTGTTTTGAGGGGGTCACTGTCCACAGTTTCTCAGCCTTCAGGTAAGCCAAACAGAATGTACTCCTGTTTGGTTTATGGTTGCTCAGGCAAGTAACCTTGGGTCTTTTGTGCAGATTGGCTAATGCTTATTTGGAACTGCTATACAAATAATACTTCTAATTAAATATTTAATTGGTAGAAAGGTAAAAAGTTGGAAGTCATTGCCTGTGGCAATTAATCAGAGCTATAGTAGTCCATAGTACTGCTTCATCTGAGAATATGTGATTTGAGGACACAAATACATTTTGTCTAGCAAATATATTTTTTTAGTTAAATAGTGAGTCTCTATTTTGCAAGCAAGAAAACAATAGACATAAGTGTTTTTTGGTTGGAGTGATAGGATATACAGACAGTGTTTAATGTAGCTACATAGGATAGAAACTCTACCAAACTGACAAATTTGTAGTTTTTTGTGGGGCAGGGGTGAGTGGAAGGAGGAGAAACAGAGCAATCTTTATTCGACTTACAATGCTGCTTCTTCAAAACTTCTTTTGCTTGTTTTTCATTTACTTCATTTGTCACCTCTACTTTGTTTTCGCTTTTTTTTTTTTTTTTTTTTTTCCCCCATTCAAATATTTCCTAAAAAGATGTAGGTTTTGTGTCTCCATTTAGCTTCTGTTACCCATTAGAGAAATTCTTATCAGAAAAAGGAGGACATTGTTTTGGTATGTTTATGGAAATATACTGTAATCGGTTGCTCTGGCAATCCCATCCGTTCCTTTTGGTGGCTGGGAGTTACTTACCAACTGTAGGTAAGAAACAATGTGATAATATAAGAACCAAAAAATTTGTCATCATTCAGTAACTCAATAAAATTACTCTCTTAATCCTATGACTTTCATGGAGAGAAGAGGAAATATTTTGAGATGGTGAAAAGTTTTGCATTTCTTTGGTTAAATTTCCTCAAGAGTTTTTGTAGGCTTTGTAAGAGATTTTGCCAGTCTATAAAGTTTTGTGTTTAGCCATAAAGGTGTTAAACATAATGGTGCTCCTTTGTGGCTTTACTTGTAGTAATTCATGTTTTCACTAACATCATTGCTCATTAACACAGTCTGTTTGTTGCTTTCTTACTACATTAACCTCAATAAGCAAGCTTCTCCATTGTTACTGACCTTGAACAATTATTGATACCTATACGATTTGATTTTCAGAATTAGGTTCCACATAACAACTGCAGGAAATTGTATATTTTCATCAGTCATAAAGAATAGTGAGAAAGTAAAGTTAAATGTTTAAGTACTAGATTAACAGCAGTTTTTAGTTGCTGTATGTTTTTACACTTCCAGAGACAACTATCCCAGATCTCGGATGCCAAGAGCACAGAGCTATCCAGATAATCATCAGGAATTCTCAGGTAGGCAGAATCACAGGTCTTGTGGTTTAACACCAGCCAGCAACCAAGCACCACACAGCTGTTCACTCCCTCCTCCCAGTGGGATGGGGAGGAAAATTGGAAAAAAAAAGTAAAACTAGTGGGTTGAGATAAGAATAGTTTAATAACTAAAATAAAATACAATAGTGACAACAGTAATAATTAAAAATAACAGTAATGAAAAAGGATATAGTAAAAAAGACAGAGAGAAATAAAACCCAAGAAAATACAAGTGGTGCACAATGCAGTTGCTCACCACCCGCTGACTAATGCCTGAGCAGCAATCCATCCCCCAGCCAACTCCCCCCCAGTTTCTATATGAGCATTACATTCTATGGTATGGAATATCCCTTGGACAAGTTTGGGTCAGCTCTCATGGCTGTTCTCCCTCCCAGCTTCTTGTACACCTGATTGCTGGCAGAGCATGGGAAACTGAAAAATCCTTAACTTAGGATAAGTGCTACTTAGCAACAACTAAAACATCAGCGTGTTACCAACATTATTCTTACACTGAATCCAAAAATCACAGCACTGTACCAGCTCCTAGAAAGAAAATTAACTATCCCAGCCAAAACCAGAACAACTGGACATGCTAGCTTTCCAGAACTCTTCCTCTTGCAAATAATAGTGCTTAGAAGGAAAGCTCACATTGAGAGGTATTATATTATACAAGCTTAATATGGTAGGAGAAGACAAACCAACAAAATCCAATCCAAATGCACACAGTAAAAGATACAATGAAACCCAAGATCTTCCAAATGTTTTCTCCTAGAGTGTTGTGTGTAACACCACTGTTAGTGTGTGTATATCTGCTCTTCCAAAAAGAACAAATGATGCAGTGGATAGGGGCACACAACAGTTTGTTAAACTGGACTGTAATGTCCCTAAGTTGGCACATAACCTTGGTTAATTTATTTCATGTTGGAATGTTGTGGTTTAACCTCATCTGGCAGGTAAGCGCCACACAGCCACTTGGTCACTTCCCCACAGAGGGGTGGGGGGAGAGAATCAGAAGGGTGAAAGTGAGAAACCTCGTGTGTTGAGATAAAGACCGTTTAATAGGTAAAGCAAAAGCTGCACGTGCAAGCAAAACAAAATGAGGAGTTGATTCACTACTTCCTGTTAGCAGGCAGATGTTTAGCCATTTCTAGGAAAGCAGGACTTCATCCCACCTAGCGGTTACCTGGGAAGATGAATGCCAGAACTCCGAACATCCCCCCTTCCTCCTCCTTTCTCCCAGGTTTTGTTGCTGAGCACAAGCTCGTATGGTATGGGATATTCCTTTGGTTAGCTGTCCCAGCTGTGTCCCTTCCCAACTTCTTGTGCAGCCCCAGCCTACTAGCTGGTGGAGCAGTGGGAAAAACATGTTGAAGTTGTGTAAACGCTTTTCAGCAATAACTAAACCATCCCTATGTTATCAACATTGTTTTGGTCACAAATCCAAAACAGCACCATACCAGCTGTTATGGAGAAAATTAACTCTATTCCAGCCAAAACCAGTACACGGAGCCTTCATTTTCTCCTGTGTGAAATGAGGATCACTTTGAAGTGCTCATGACTTCTGTAACTGAAAGCACTGCAAAGTGCAAGGATGAAGGAGAACTGTGTGCCATGCCTATAAATTAAGTGATCACCACTAATGTTTTCATATGACACTCTGGCTAGAATCCAAATTCTGTTGTTCTTGGTTCAGGATATGAAGTGCAATGGGTAGCACTGAAAGTGCTTTGAGTGTCTCTCATGGGCACGCCTTGCTACAGAATTTTGCTGTTGAACAATAATTAAGCTTCCAGTGAATCTGGGGTGTTTTCTGTTTTTTGGTCTATTATATACTTTAAGGCTTCTTTTTATTTTGTTTATGAAGCTTTATCCAGATGACTGTGTGACTGTGTGTTTTTTCTTTTAAAGATTCTAGAGTCCTTAATGGATTGCACCACTTTTAAATGAAAATAAAGCTATGTATAAGAAGCATTTAGGTGACAGTTATAAATACCCAAAATGTTGGAAATGTCAGAAATCAATTTGGTAATTTTAATCTAGTTAACTTGTGTTTCTTTATTATGGTTACTTTTCTGATAAGATGATCTTGCATTATTTTTTTTCTGTTTTTTGACCCTGTGGGATGCTCTGGTGTTTTAACAATGGGGTAGACAGCAATCGTTCCATATTCAATATTTATTCTCATAATTTGATGTGTAACAAGACCAGAATAATATATCGAGTCAGAAAAAATGTCCGTCTGGCATAGTCTTTTCTCCTGCCACAACCAGTACCAGGCTTCTGTAGAGGAGCATGTAGTATAATTTTCTCAGAATATGTTCCTAGTCATGTATGGCTTAAGGGTTCTGCAAATGCAAGATGCTCCTCTGTGATTTAATGGATTTTTTTTTTTTCCCCCACAATTTTTTCCGGTCCCTATTTCAACTTGTATAAACTTTTTTAGTATCAACAGTATATTGTGACAAGAAGCTGTGCAACTTATTGTTTTATGAAGAATTTTGCCATTTGTGATTTTTCTTTTTTTTTTAAATATATATTTTTTTAACAGACCTCTCTGTTTCCTTTTGAGCTGTTGCTTTTCTGGTCTATAGAGGCCTACATTCCGTGTGCAGAAGCGATTTTGTATTTTTGATCATCTCTCTACTTCTAAATCTTTTCCAGTTTTACTAAATCATTGGAAATGGAGTAGACCAAAACTTTGTCCAGTATATCTTAATGATTTATAGCATTTAATTTGCTGTTCAGTCAATACAGATTGTTCAGCTGCTGCTTTATTGGAACTCTCTTATCACAGCCCTTTACACTAGCCTACACTGAATTTCATCTGAGGAACTTCATCAAGATGAATTTCAACATCCAATCACAGACTCTTAAGGGCTGTTCTGTAATTCTTCTGTTGGCTTTATTTCTCCAGATGATTTTGTCACCTCACTATTCATTGTTCTGTTCAGAGAATTAATGCGTAATTAAACTGCATGAGTTGTAGCCCAGCTTCCCGTGGAACTGTTGGCCATTTACTCCCATCGTCTGTACTTACCTTCAAACCAATTATTTATGCAGAAGGGACTTTTTCCTTTGTCTTATGAATACTTTTCTCCTTTAATTTTTAAAAGAAGACCTATTGGATGTGTTGTAGTAATTCATGCTGTGTTGACTCATTCACCGATTTTTCATATTTATGCATCTTTAAATTTTATTCCTTGTAATAGTTTCTGCCAATTTTCTCAGTGAACTGTAGTTTCCCAGAATTCCTCTAGAAACTATTTTTAAAACTGGAGTAATTAGGCATGCTGCAGTCCTCTGACATTCTTTTAAGCAAGAGGTTACAAACCACTTGAGCTATTGAATTCTTGATCCTTTGGAACTTTTTTCTGAATGTCCTTGTAGTTCTTGTGATTTGTTAGATTTGTGACTTTTGCTCTATAATCTTTTATGTTCTGATGCTTCAATGTGAAACATATCCTGTAATACATTCCCCCATGTTTAAGCTTGCAATAGCAAACAGATTAATATGCTTTTGCCACATAGAAAATTTTGAAATGTATCTTTTTATTTTCTAGTAGAGTATGATATCCCAATATTTGAGAAATTTGGAAAGGGGGGGACTTATCCCCGAAGATACCATATTTCATATCATCAGCAAGATTATAATGACGGTAAGTGTGAATACTGCAAGAGTTGTACTTTATAGAGTTCTACTTTATTAACCTGTTTTTCTCTTTTTAAAAAATGAAGAATAACTATTAGATTGTAGAATCTTAATGAATTAAAATAATGAAGAAATTGAAAGCTTAACTTCTTTTCCCAAACTCATTTGCTAAACTTCGAATGATTGAAAGAGCTGCTGAGCAGTCTTACCAGAATTCATGACTCATATGCACAGCTATGAAAACGTTATCTATCTTTGGCTGTGCACAAGTCATCCAGTGTAAGCTTTTGACCTTTGTGACCCTTTTCTATCCAAGGTAAGTATGTCAGTCAGTTTGTAATTTCTTGTTTTGCTTTAAAAAAAAAATTTTAAAAAAAGTACGAAAATTCAGTGGAGTTCCTATTAACAGTTTCTCAGATTAAAAGAGTAAATAAAATTGAAGAGCAGTCATTTAAACCAAGAATTAACACTTAGCTGATGAAATCACTTGTGGGAATGCATGACAGCACCTGCTGATGTGGCCACAAAGCTGATTTGAACAGTAATAACACTGATGTTATTACGAAGGAAAGTGGAGCAGCTGAAGGATCGTCTAACTTGAGGATGTGTCAAGCACTAGTTGAGAAGTGTTAAGAAGAAACTTCTCCAAAGACCAGATGGTTTCATTTGCAGTATGGAGTGAACAGAGCAATAAACAGCATTCTGTGGCAGAAATCACAGAAATAGCAAATTGAACAACTGCAAGGCAGCTTTGGTGCAGTCCCTTGCTCTAAGGCAAGATTAAAGAGGCAAAGATCTATCACACTGACTTTTAAGTAAACTCTGAATTGACTTTAAGAGAAGACATACTAATTTTCTTTACATAACTAACTTCTAAAACAGCTTAGCTTATAAATTACCTTTCTCTGTCTTCTAAATAATTTTTCCTGCAAATTAAACTATTAACTAGTTACTCCATTTTAACACAGTGAAGAATTGGTCACTGCCCATATATAACACTGCATCACACACATACCTGTTTTCTCTCCTTAAGTTTTCCTCTTTCAAGCTTTAGGCCTTACCTCAGACATTTTTTCAAGCCTTGTATTTTTTTTTCCCTGGTCTCTTCTCCATTCTTGTCGTGGCCAAAACTCGGTATTCTAGCTGAGGCTTTTCTCATGACCACTTTATGGATAACATAGGATATAAACATAACTCGGTATGTAACAGTCATATTAATATGTTCCAGAATGACACTTCATAGTCACCATACTGACTGCAGTTCAGTCTGTGGTCTACTATAGTTCCTGCATCCTTTTCTGCATGAATTTTAACCAACCAATTACTTTACACTTCGTGGTTTCTGCATTTGATTTCTCTTTAAGTATGTATGTTGTACTTCCGTACTGAATTTCATCTTGTTGATTTCTGAATCATCTCCAATCTTACTAATATCGTTGTGAATTTTGAATTTATCTTTAAACGGACTTCCAGCCACACTTAACTTGATGTCATCTGCAATATTTCAGTGTATTATGTTCCATCATACATACACCATCAGTTAAAATAGTGTGTGAAGTGGACTGATGGTAAACTTCTGTGGGTGTCCACTTAAATATCCTCTTATTAGATAAGAAATAGCTGATAACTGCTCTGGATCTGTCTTGGGCATACGTTACTTAGTAAATTGTTCTTTGCAACACCTCACTAGTTACCTTAAGAGAATGTCCTGATGAAATAGGGAAATTGGATAAGCAACATGTGACAAACCAATTATGGATGGTTTATAACCTTATTATCTTCAGTGGTTTTTAAAATTGCTTAATAATTTGTCTGCATATCTGTCTTGGACTTTAAATTGGCCAAACGAGTATATAAATCTGAGTCCACTTTTTCGAAGATATTTTTTCTGCCTTCTTCAGTCCCCTGCCCCTGGGAACAACTCCTCCAGTGTAATACTAATGAATCAGAGACTCCTTCAGCAATTTCTGAGTTTTGTAGGATTAAGCTTCATCAAACTGTGCTGACCTAAAAATGTTCTTGTGTTAGTCATCTGGTTGTAATTAAACTTTTATGAAGATCAATGCCCCTTTTTTAAATTATTCTAATGCTGTAACCATCTCTAAATTATGCATTGTTTGTGATTTTTTTTTTTTTTTTAAATAATAATTTTTTTTGTGGTCTTCCTGTTGATTCCATGTGTAGGTATTTCTTTCCATTCAATTCTTATTAGTTTACAGGATGAAGATGCCAGCCTGGTCACCACTGGAATGTAAACATATCTCACACTCTCTTATCTATCAGAAATTTTATATTTACACTTTAATAGAGGAGTAAAAGTCAAGGCAGGGCATTTTCCTTTCTCCTCTCGCAGCCCTCCCGGTTTCTGAAGCGTGTTGATTACATTTCAGAACATTTCCAGAATTTGGTCCCAATTTTGCTCACTTAAACGTAAATCAGTTTTTGATTCAGTCTAATCCTTACATACATCTGTGATGAATGTTTCTTTTCTTCTAGGCGGAATGTTAAACCAGTAAATTTCACGGTCATTACATCATGTCATATACTGGGGAAGATTGGAACTACATCATGTGGAATTCATGAAGTATTTGCATACACACATTACATAGCAGTATTTTTCGTAGTGTAACATTAGAATTCTTTGTCTCTTGTCGAAGGTCGTAAAACTTTCCCAAGAGCCAGAAGGACTCAGGGGAACAGCTTCCGATCACCAGTTAGTTTCAGCCCCACTGATCACTCGCTCAGCACCAGTAGCGGAAGCAGCGTCTTTACGCCGGAGTATGAAGATAATCGAATGAGGAGGAGGGGAAGTGACATAGACAATCCTACCTTGTCAGTCATGGACATCAGCCCACCCAGTCGCTGTAAGTTAAGGCATTTTGTGAACTTCACTGTCAAACTCTCTTACCTTTCAAGTACATCACGTCAGAACTAAGAGTGTCATCAAAATACATGCAATTGAATAATCTGGTTTTATGTCTCGAATAGGAAAAAGTCAAGACTGTGCTCATCAGTTTTGTCATTGCTTACTGTGCCAACCTTCATGTAGATTTTCACATGGAATGTGCATCTGTGATGATAAAACACTGTAAAAACATTTTTTGATGATTTTTTTAGACTCTTGAGGACCCGAGAAGGGTTTTGTTGGTTGCAGATACTGTTTGTTTTTGCAGATGTTGGTCCAGTTTTCTGATAAATTGTAGACATTATGTGGTACTGGTTTATATCTGTGGTGGCATTTCAGGAACAAATATACTTTGTGATGACTTCAGCAGCTGGTACATTTTTTTCATCATGCCTATGCATTTTAATATACATGTTAATGTATATTAATGTATATTACTATAGACGTGAAGTATATTAAAATATAGATTAATATATTAACTTTAATATATTATATATTTAATATGTATTAATATATTAATTGTATTTCAATATATTCTAATGTAGTTTAATATATATTTTACATTGTGGATATATTTTTAGACATTATGTATTAAATATATAATATATATTGTATGTGTTATATTAAATATACTAGATTATAGATGCATTTATATAAACTAGTATATTTAATAAATTGTATTTATAAAATATCTCCATATTTATAATATGTATATATAGATATATTCTATTTATAAAACATATATTTTTATATGTTGTATATACATTTTAATCATGCCTCAATTTAAAAAAGAATGTGACTGAGTTTAACATGCTTTTTCTGTTTTTCAGATTAGCTGTTGCTAGTTGTTTTAAGTATGTCTATCAGCCACAAATTATTTTGTGAATAAATTTAAGTAGCTCATATTTTTCATCTTACAGGAAGTTTTATTGATCTTTGTAACTTCTGTGGGGAGGTTTAGGACACTTAGTTTCTGTCGTTGAAAAATGTAGTCTTTTAAAAAATTATTTTCTGTGTATTCCAGTTTTTCTCGATCAGCTGAATAACAAGCTCATTTGAAAACCAAAACATACTTATATTTTCAGCACCACGAGCTCCAACTAACTGGAGACTTGGTAAACTGCTGGGTCAAGGTGCATTTGGCAGAGTGTATCTGTGTTATGATGCTGATACCGGAAGAGAACTGGCTGTTAAACAAGTTCAGTTTGATCCCGATAGTCCAGAAACCAGCAAGGTAAGTGATACCAAAGAGAGTTTGTAAAGGGCTTCTGCTGCAGTGGTATGCTCTAGACTAGACTGATGTTCCTTTCCTTGAATAGGATGATGGTTTAAAACATGTTGTGTTTTCATATCCTCCTTAGGAATCCTGTTTTGCTGGTACCTCAGAGAATGTTTAGTTACCGGATTTTAATGTTTCATCTCATTTTTTAATTTTCAGACTTATCCTTACGCAATGAACATAGGTAACTTAATTTGGTGCAGTCTCAGGTTCTAAAATTAAACAATCCGTTATGAAGTGCGCTCTGAAATAGATAATTATTGATACTTACAGAAATTAGATCAAGTTCCAGTTATAAACAGAGAAATCTGTACTAATTTAAGTGTTCTTGATTATTAATTCTTGAGGATGTTTTGTTTGGCTGTGGAAGACAATTTGAGATTTGTAATTTTTTTTTTTTATATTTTGGATAGATTTGATTTTGGTTTTCTTTTTTTTTTTTTGTAAAAAAAAAAGGCATCAGGGCTAGCTACTGTTATTTACTGTATTTCTCTCTGAAGAGCATAAGTTTCATTGTCTAGTTTATCGTATCTCTAAAATGTAACTTGTCCTTCTTTAAATACTGGACACTTGAGGAGAGAAACTATTTAAAAGTAGCACCAACTTCTTTTTCTTTTTTTCAAAACCATACTTGCTGCTTTTTACAGGATGGAAAAAGAATTATTACTTTTCCTACATTAGGACTACGTTCTGCACTGTGGGGAGCAAGGCCGGGGAAACAATGGGTGTAAGCATGATTGCAGAATTGAGTGGCTGCCCGTTATAGTTGTTGCTGCTAGTGATGTAGGATCAAGGAAAAAAGCCAAGAATCATTTGTGCTGTAGACTTCTAGTGTAGTTGTTGTTGCTACTTCTTTAAAATCTAACAGAACAACTGATTATGCTTTGGAAATGTTAAATATAAAATACCGTAGTTCCTCCTGTAGCAACAGTTTTGTGACCTCACTTCCTATAGCATTTTGTCATGTGTGTGTCTCGGTATCAAAAAATCTGTTTTCCTTCTAACCTCAGAACTGCAAGGGTATGAGTAATAGTCTGTGACGAACAAAAAGTAAGTTTGGATCAAAGACTTCTAGGTGAAATTTGGAATCCAGTCAAGTTTGAATTCATGGGTTAGTATTTTCTCAGCATCATAATGGACATTCCGTTTCCAAATATCTGACCTCCTGTTTGCAAAATTTTTAGTATTTCAGATAGCTCTAGAGAAAGCACCACATGTGTCAACTGGTTTTCTTTGTTGTAGTTCATTATCGCAACATTAAGTGGTCCTCAAAGGCTTTTTTAAAGTATAGTCTGTCAACCTGGAAAAGTTAAGAATTAATACTAATTATTCTACTAGAAAGATTTAAAGATTTATTTATTTATTTTTACCCCATTGGAGGCTGGTGACATGCTGTATAATGATTGCTGACTTCATACACATACTGATATCTGCTGTGCTCTAAAACAAACGTAACTACTAAATAAGAGAAACAATGAAATAACAACAAATTCATTGCAAAGTCTCTTTATAGAAAAGCCATGTTGTGTTTGGTTTTTTTGTTTGTTTTTTTTTGTTGTTTTAATTTGCCTCAATCTAATGGTGATATTTTCTTGTTATAAAATGTATAAACTTTACGTAAACTACAAGAATATTTTGTAACTTAGTTTGTATAATCCTTCAATATGTACATACTGATGTGCTTTAAAAAAATCCAAATCCAAACCATGTTTTTTTAGTACATCAAGTATGGTAAATCTTGTCTGTTTTTTTTCCTTTTAGGAAGTAAATGCACTTGAATGTGAGATTCAGTTGCTGAAAAACCTGCTGCATGAAAGAATTGTTCAGTATTATGGCTTCTTGAGAGATCCGCCGGAAAGAACACTCTCTATATTCATGGAATACATGCCTGGGGTAAGCAAGAAAGCCAGACCACTTCAACCATCGTTTCTATGCTTGTGTGATGAGCATCCACGAAGACAGCTTTTGCAGAAGTGCACACACATATTAAAGAAATGTCCAAGTCAAAAACAGTTGCCAAAGATGGGTACTGACAAGTGCTTGTAGCAGCCCATCTTGTCCATTACTTGATTGGGTTTTCAGAATTATAGTGGTTTGTTCTTTGTGTTTGGTTTTGCCATAAGAAGTGCCTGGAAATGTCTTTGAAAAAACAATATTATCATTAGTAAACTCTTGAATCTTCCTGAATTGTTAAGTTTCTTTTTGCTGCACTTCAGCTTGTGCTGTTGCGTAGTCACCATTTCAAGTGCTCAATTATTTCAGGAAAACAAAAAGTAGCTAAGATGGATGTGGGAATAGGTGTGTACAGAACATATTCTGGGTGCTTGTTTTTTATGTGGCACTTAGGTACATGCTGAACTGTTCTTCTACTGTTTTGCTAAGAAATATTACAAGGTCAGAAAACTGTAGATTTTCATTTTCTCACCAAGTGGGGTCAGCAGAGCTAAATAAAATGTGCTCATATGAAAACACGGGCTTTGTATTTCTGAATAGTTACAGCATTCTACTTTACTGTGACACTACACAGAAGAAAGGCAGTGTGGGGGGGAGGGGTTTGCTGGCAGTGGTTGGTTTTCTGTTTGGTTTCGTTTGTTGTTTTTTTTAGGTAAGTTCTGGGCTTTGTTTTGGGGGGCTGCTTGAATTTTTTCTGATATTTGGAGGACAGTGTCACAGAAGTAATCTTGGCAGTTTGTGTGACAAAGCCAGGTTATATAAAAATACTTACAAACCCATTAATTTTTAATTTAATGTTATTTTAAGCCAAGGCTTGCTTACCTCTTAATTTTTACATAAAGCACCATCCTCCAGCATGTGGTGGGTTTTTTTTTTTGACAGCCTCTTTTTTCCTGAGTATAATCTAACCAGGATAAATGGCACATGTTTTTCCAACTTGAGTATCACTATTTACCTATCAAAAAAGCTGATAGTGTATTTGAATGACAGTACTGCTGTTGTCTTTTTCCGTACTTCACGCTGGAACTAGACAGCTGCTTGACAGTTTTAAGGTTAATAGCTGAACGTTTCAGTATATGACTTCTCTGTCCAGCATCTTTTTTGTCCAAGTTTGTATTTTTCTCAGTTGGGGTAAAATTATATCTGTGCTTTTAAGTTGATCTGGAGAAGTATTGCAACTTTAAATGTGTACGTTTCAGGCATAAATTTCATTGACATTCAACTGTAGTATTAGCCCACTTGTGATTCTGAAAATATTACAGTGCTTATACTTCTTGTTTGCCATAGGGTTCCATCAAAGACCAACTGAAATCATATGGAGCGCTCACAGAGAATGTGACTCGCAAATATACGCGGCAGATTTTGGAAGGAGTTCACTATTTGCACAGTAATATGATTGTCCATCGAGATATTAAAGGTAATGATAGTTCTGTGCACAGCTTAGTGCTGTTTACTACAGATTCTTTTCCAGTCTCGTGTGAAGCGCTAAAATGTAATTAAGTTTGAAATGCCAAAATACCGACTTAAAATCAATAAGACTGCTTTCCATCATTTATTCTTGTCACTGTTCTAACCTGAGGGGGAAAAAATAAGCATCTTTGGTGTTCTAGCTGACTTCTGACAATGTTTCTGTAGTTTCTGCCTGCAAAACAGTCATGATAAATTTTTCTGGTTTTTAGTACTAATAGTTTTGAATACATCAAAGGATGATGTCATTACAAATAGATAGAATGTGCAGAGGGGAAAGCATGACTTGAGAGTTTATTTTTACAGAGTTTTATTTCATCAGTTATAGAAACTACCTAGCACTTCACTGGTACAAGAAATGACTGGCAGAGGTGACTTGCCTGATCAAATGCCTTGGACTTCTTCCATTTTGCTGCCAGGAAATGTGTGGAAACAGGGATATTTACTGTTTGCAGATAGATACAGGTGACTCCCAAGTGCTGCATAAGCAAGTTATAAATATGTAAGAAGCTGGCGATGTGCAAAATAGGTGTACTGAACACAATGCTGTTGTATTCCCTAAGACTTTTACAATTTTTCTGTTGCTTTGTATCAATACTGTGTTGTTCCAAAAAAAGTTGAGGTGTCACAGTCAATTTGTACATGCTTATGCAGATAAGCATTTTGAACAAATCTGTAACACAGTTTGAAATTTTGCTTTAAAGTCTTTTTTGCTTTTAGTCTTTAAACACCTTTTCAGCTGTGTGGAAACTCCTTTCACATTTATTTTTACTTCCATTACATGGCATATTCCTTATTTCATCAGGAAGGCTTTACAAAGTGACTAGCACTTCCTGGAAAAGACCTAGGATGCAAACCAGTGTGTTACAATTTGTTATTTTCTGAATCTCAGAATAGAGTGATAGGAATGAGCAGAGTAGGTAAATTCTCTGGCTTGAAATACTAGGCTGATCTTGCATTGTATCACCAAATCCAAGCTTTTGTTACCATTTTCCACACCAAAAAGTTAACAGGACGTTCATGAATGTAACACTGTGCTCCCTTCCTTCCAGGAGCAAATATTCTGCGGGATTCAGCAGGCAACGTGAAGCTCGGTGACTTTGGTGCCAGCAAACGACTGCAGACTATCTGTCTCTCTGGTACAGGAATGAAGTCTGTCACAGGAACTCCGTACTGGATGAGTCCAGAAGTTATTAGTGGAGAAGGATATGGCAGAAAAGCAGACATCTGGTATGTTAAAAAAAAAAAAAAAAAAATCTTCTCTACTGACAGGTGTCATTTCAGAACGGGTTCTTTTCCAACAGAGTACAGGTGTTCGTTATCTGAAGTTGGAGCTTTTCATTCTGGAGTTTATGCTGAACAAGGTGGCAACTGTGAGCACTGACAGTCATATGTGGAGAGTATAACAACTGAAATTTGGGAATTTTTCATTTGGCAATTCTTCAGCCCATTGATTTAGGGATCATAAGAAAATCCATTGAACCAAAGTTGCGTGAGGTTAGGATTACCAGACCGTTTGTAAATCCTGGAGAGGGACTGGGTGAAAGCAACATGTGAAGCTTTGAAGCATCAGTTAAGTCAATGTCCTGTAATGAAACTTTATCACTGAAATACTTTTGATGCAAGGCAGAAAACAAAATGCTGGTCCTTTAAAGATGAGCACATAAGAATTAACTAACCAGATTTAAATGGGAGGTATCAAAAAATAATTTTAAGTTGTTATTAAATATTTGAGAATTAAGAGGGAAAGGTAATTTTCAAAAATATATGTTTGTGATACATTGTGGAGCACTGCACTGTCTAACATAGCTCCAGTCCAATGGACAGATTATTTTAGCAATTAGACTCCTTGCACTACAGATGATCTGTGAACACACAGAATAATGAGTAGGCAACAGTAGATATGCAGGAGTAGTAACACTTCGTGTGTGTAAATAGGAACCACATAATATCCAACCAATGGCCGTACTTTTAATGTCAGGGAGATTAATTTAGCCTACTTCAGATCACTTAGTAATTACTTTGCTATGCTTGAATAATAGAACAACATTTTATATTTCAGGCAGTTGACATGTTCAACTCTGAAGTATTTTTACCAAGGTCTCTTTGATGGAGAAAATCCTGGTTAAAACTAAGAAAAAATACTGAAGTTGGATCTCTGTCATTCAGTAAATCCTTACTGTGTGAAGAAATGTACCCCTAACCGTAAAACTTCTTGCAAGCATCTTGAAAAGCCATAAAGCTTCTTGAAAATTAGGAAATTATTTCAGCCTATCCATTTTGCAGTATCATTTGCTTGCTATTGGAAGAGGCTGATCTTGAAGGACTTCTGGAACAGAGTTTTTCTGGCCATATGCATGCCCTTCTGCCTTCCTAAAGCCTTTAAACATAAGCTTTGCATACAAAGATTGTTTAGGGTCTTAAAACTTTGTTTGGCAGTCAAAGTATATTTTTAGTGTCCTTAGCTAACTGAAGAACATACCACCGAAGTACGGCTTTAAACTTCTTAACTTCCATGTCATGTTTGTGGGTTGTTCATCGGCGAAAACTTGTGCCTTTCTAATGAGCTAGCAAAATACACCGTGTATGCTGACGTAAAGCGTTCTTGCTGCTTTGCATTTCCATTGGGCCTTACTGAGCAAGAAAGCTTTGGTGTGCTGTCAAGTGCTGCAGGTGTCTGACGAGCTGGGGTGCAAGGGTTGCGCAGCGCTCGTGGCCTGCGCCGGCCTGCTGAGCACTGAACAGCAGCCGGGCATGGCCGAGAGAAACCCCCGCTTGGCTCTTCCCTGAGGTAGTCGCTCTTGTCCCAGGGAAGTAATAAAGATGTAGGTGGTGGTTTGTGTAACTTAGAGATACAGTGCATAGCTGTACGTGCAGGGGTTTTTTGTACCAGTGAAGTTGCTCTGTGAAGCGGACGTTGCTTATTTGTGATATTTCAGCAGCTCTCTGCTATTTCTTGTTTTCCTAGGAGGGCATGACTCTGTTGTAACCTGCTGTCTCACTTCTGCCTCTGTTTCAGGAGCGTAGGTTGTACAGTGGTAGAAATGCTCACTGAGAAGCCCCCGTGGGCAGAGTTCGAAGCAATGGCTGCCATCTTTAAAATTGCCACTCAGCCAACCAACCCCCAGCTACCACCTCATGTCTCCGACCATGCTCGGGATTTCTTGAAACGGATTTTTATCGAGGCCAAGCTGCGACCATTTGCAGATGAACTGCTAAGACACACGTTTGCACACTATCACTAACAGCCTGCCTCAACTCAGCTTGCATCTACTGCATTTATTTTCTATTTGACTGCACTTTTATTTTTATTTTTTATGAAAAAAAAGAGAAAAAAGACAAGAGAGAGAATATTCTCTTGAATCTTTGTTTCACTTAGATTGTAAACAATCTAAATTTTGTATCTAAAATGAGAATCTTCTCTCCCCCTCTCCCACCAGGACTAGAACTTTTTGTTTCTATAATGTACTGATGTGGTTCACGTAGATAAAGCACTTTAGTACATATTTGTTCCTTATTTAAAGTGGAAAAAAAAAAAAAAAAAGACAAATGCTTGGACAGTCAGGAACTGTGTGACTTTTTCTGACACCGCTGACTGACTCAGGGTGCAAGGAAAAACAGACATGCAGCTAAAGGACAAGAAGGTTACTTCTCTGTGATTCTTCTTTGTATTGTAGGTACTTGCAGCAGAGAGTTCTAAGTTCTTATTATATTTTAACATTTTAATCAGTTTCTGGATTTTACAGTTTAAGCTGGAACATGCAGTTATGAGAGTTAAAGCTGGAAGAACTTGGAACTCTTTGTACAGCAGCATGTCTAACTGGTACTTCTAAGTGACCAAAACAAAATAACAAAAAAGAACTCAACACTGATGTACTAGCTAAAGACTTTGGTGTAGAACTATTGTATTATCTTAACAGGAAAACAATTACAGGTAAACAGATTACAGACCCAGACTCCTAGGAACTCCTATACTGCAAGGGAACAATTTCTGTAATAGACAAGGGTCAGCTGTTGGATGTAAGTCGTTAGGAGAATGCCTCCTGCTGTATCTGCCAAAGAGAACCTCTGTTGCATAAGCTTGGAGGGTGATGGTTGTCTTAGGTAAGAAAAAATAGTGCTGTTGAGAGTCAGTTCTCCACCACAATCCCATGAACATGGTGGGGAGTGGGAAGGGGAGTGACTAATCCTTGTGCAGTATACGAGTTACTTAATTCAGAATGCGCTGTAAGAAATAATGTTTTCAATGCTGTCAAGAGGCGCTAGGATGGAATGTATGTCAACATCAAGTGCCTGATTAATATAAAATTCTTCCCATTATGCACTAAAAAAAAAGTTGTTTTAATAATACAATTCAGTCATGTAGGATGTGTTGAAAATTCCTGAAATAAACATTTTTTTAACACCAGGAATAAGTCACTGAGAAAGAAGACTCCAGTTATCAATGCTACCTTATTAAAAATATGAATCCATATGAACAAGGAGGCACAGCACAAAAGATTGTATAAAGAATAGGCCAAAAGTGCAAAGAGAGCCAGCAGTTAAATAATGTTAGCATGATTACTCCAGCCTGATAATCTGGACGATTGGTGTTTATCAGGTTTCCAACTGTCATAAAATGTACGTTAATCACTTTTTCCATTTCTGAAAGAGTATAATAAAAGAACAAAAGTAAAACTCTGAAATGCTGCTTCTCAATAGAGAAGTCCAGATACTGATCAGGTGTAGTGAATAACTGACTTGTCGCTACAGAGGAGTCAGACTCTCGTATTTTTGTAGAAGAATACAACATAAATAATTTAAAAGGGCATTTGGAAATAAACTATTGGACTACAGAACTGAAATAACGTTTACTGGTTTGGGTGATTCATTGCTTGCCTTTGTTGTTTTGTGAAGGCAGAGCGGGCTGGTACTGAGAACCTTGTCCACTCTGACAAGGCTCTACCTGTTTTGCATCTTCAGAGGACTGCCAGAATTATGAAGTGCATGGAGATAAAACAAGGAGCTTGCCCATTCCCATGGTAGTTTACTCACAAGATTTCTGAATTTATTCTGCTAACTTTCAAATTTTCTATCAGAGTTTGAGTAGGAGTATGGATCTGTCTTAATCACTTTACCTGTAGTGGAGTAAGAATGATTTCTTTGAGGCCATCTCTCCTGAGACAGACTGGTGGCTTCTTTGGTTTATGTGAGTGGTTTACCTAGCTTATAATTTTCTCGGTCAGGGTACACAACTGTGCAAGGTTTTCTGAGCATGGGAAGAACTAGTCAGGCCAAGGAAGGTTTAGAAGGCTGAAAGGAAAGTCAGCTTGCTTCTCTGTCACTAGATAAAAGCTATGAAAGCAGCCTTTAAGAAGAATTGGTATGTAAACTGCTGTAAAGGACCTTTGCTTTATAAGCAAAATTTAGTGACAGCAGGGATGGGAAGTTCAATGTAGAGCCTAATAGTTTATGTAGGTAATTTAAAGATCATATAATTGAAATTATTGATTTCAAGCAGATTAAGAAGGTACCAAAACCAACATAAAAATGTATATAAAAAATCAGTAGTGGACAGTGATATCTGAAAAGGTAAGGAAATTTTATATTACCAAAAAAGGACTTTAAAGGGAAAATGTAGCCAGGTTTATCTGTAGCATTTGTAACATTTAAATATACTATTCTAAAAAGAAATTGCACTCTCTGAAGCTTGAAAACTTTCAGAATCTAGTTTTCGTATGATGTGTCTCTTTCGTGAGACAGTGCTGGCTCATGTTTATTGCAATATCACTTCCTCATTGTGATTTTTAATTACTGAATAATTGATTTTGCTGCTTTTATGCCTTTTCTAAAAATGGCATTCAGTCATGACAACAGTAAGCATTTTGGAGCCAGGAAAAAAATGATTTGCAGAATGCATTTTCCTTAATTTCTTTGACATACCAGAAAGCTGACAACATAAAGACAGTGCTTCTTAAATGAAGGTGACATTTGCCAGTTCCAGTGATTCTAGTAAAATTTGACTAACTTAACCAAGATTAGGGTTGAGCTGTTTTTTTTACCCTATGGAGAATTTGTCTTCTGACTTAAGCAACTTATGATAAATTAAATGGTTATTAACATAAAAGTGTTGAGCTAGAAATAATTATGAATTGAAATCAGACTTTTACCAAAAGGTGAGCTAATATTTATCCCCTATTGGGGTAATGTAGTAAAACAAGCTGCATTAAGTAACATAGCACCTCTGTACACAGTGTCCGTAAAACACTTATATTGACTACTGGCGTGATAACGAACAAATTCTAGTTCTAGAATTTGAGAGGGCACATGGAATTTCATGCTTAAATGTCCATTGGAGGAGGGTTGCAGAGCCAAGATCCCTGCTCACGGCTTCTAAGATCTTACTAACAAAGATACCAGCATTCAGAATCGTTACTTATTCTTAATTGTTCAATCTAATCACTAGAAAATGCCAATGAAAACAGTACTGTTTTGCTTTTCTGTAAATGCCATGATGAAGCTCTGATCTCAGAAAATAAGGATCAAGGTTCACAGTGAGTATGCATATTTTCAAAGGACTTATTATTCTGTTTGCTGCACATATTAACTAACCAAAGTCAAGCTACTTCTCTAGTCTGGGTTTAATGGTGTAACGAACAGTCCTGTTAGAGCGTGACTGAAACTTTCAGTCACGTTAGAGCACGTTGTTTATTTTTTAATTTGGGTGGTAGAAATATCCATGCAAGAGCTTAAAAAGGTATGGATCTAGTAACTGCAAAGTTAAATCTGCATAGACTTTTTTTCTTGACAGTTTGTAGTCTTAAAATTTTAATCTGATTTGCAATTCGATTTGTAGCTAAACAGTCCTTAGTATAACAAAATTAAAAGTTTGTTTTGTTTGTTATTTTTCTTTTTTTTAGCTAGTGCCTTTTTATCTGTATGCCTTAATTTTGTTCATATTTGAACACCATATTGAAATACATCATACAGTTCCATGTTGCCAATATACTCTTGGAGTGTGGGTTTTTTCAAAGTGCCCAAACCAGACCTCACCTAACCGCACTGAAAAGCGTGTGTTAGTTCTAATCTGTTGCAGACATTTAAACTGAGATTTTTTTAAAAGTGGGGTTTGGAGCACTTCCTGAAGGTTTCCTGTGCTAATACAAGTTTTGTATTTGCATTTTGGAGATTGTACACTGATGCGCATTCCAGGAAAATGACTCTTCTGCGCTCACAGAAATACTGTTAGAGTCAAGATTTCGCTTCCTCGCTCTGGGTACTGGACTCTGGGTTTACTGTAGAGGCAGCAGCAGAGTTCTTAATGGACTTGAAATCATAGTTGGTACATTTGTAAACGTGGTACTGTATTAAAAGCTATTTCCTTTCAGTCCACGGGAATCCGAGGTGTCTAAGCAAATCAGGAGGTTTGTCAGTGAAGCTAACATCGTGCCCCTTTAATTATTTCCTGTGGCTTTTGGATAACCCTACTCCTGCCGTTGTCTTGACTGAAAGCCTTGTAGCACCTGTAGGTACAGCGCAGTACAGCAAGCCATTCTTTTGGGCTACGTAGAGCAATGTCTAACTGCAGCTTCAGAGACTTGAGCAAATTGGTCAGATCTACAGTCATTTATAACCAATTTCTCACTTTTTAAATCTCGAAAGTCTTTGTCACACATATAGAAAAGCGTAATTTATGTGCCTGAATGTTAAGTCCCTATGGTGTTTCTGGAAAAGCAAAAGTATTACTGCCAGTATAATTTTTTCTTGCTGGTAACTTGCTGTCTTGTGTTAATGACAAGTCTGCAGTGTAAAATCACATACAATTACCAAAGCTTTTCTATCCCCATATCCATATAGCCAAAAGTGATGTTTCATGGATTAGTACTGTTACTTATAGATACATATATATCCATCAGTAAGCTGTTGCTAACTGAGTAAAGCAGATACTAGTAAAAAGTGATAGACACCGCCCATATTTAAGAGATGTGGGTGTTTATAGTTGCTGTTTCGATGTGCAAAATTTATGCCAGCATTAAAATTAAGAATTTGCTTTTAAAAACTCTTTTCTAACCTAATCTTATCGTTGTCATTCTAAAAACATTGCGTAAGCTCGGTGACTAAACCTGGTGACTCTGATAGCCAGGTTTGAGCTTTGGGACATCTAAGGAATGCCACGAAGACAGGTAGAGAACTGCTGTGTGCTCTGTAGTGAGAACGTTTCAAAGCTGAGTCGGCTCGCTGTGAGGGGCAGACGTCCCCCCAGTCCCAGGGGTGTCGCTGCCTCCGGGAGCGGCCGCAAGCGCACGCCGAAGGGAGCCAGCGGGATTGCTGCCAGCCCAGGGTCTCGCAGTCAAAATCCTGGATCAGAAACGAAGCAGCTCCTTTCCCTTTTTATTTCCCCCACTTGGCCCGCATGGTTTGTTTTACTTTCTAGTTGGCGTAACTTAAATACTTTGTAGGTGGTGGCCACTGATGGCTTCTCAGTAAGGTGTGAGTTCACGTACAGCTTTACACCAGGGCCCTGCCACTTCGGGGCAGGACGCTGCATCTCCCCGCTTGCTGGAGCCCCCCCTGGTTTTTCTCTAGCAATACATACACGTACGTGTTTGAGGGTTAGGTGGGACGGAGGAAATGAAATTACTCACGTTTCAAAGCACCAATGCTCGCAGTCACGCTTTGGCTAGGTCTTGGTTTTCATAGATTTATTTCAAAAGGAGAGGAACTGGATTAAAGCACACGAAAATTGTATCTCATGGTTCAGCCCTTACACTGAGTCCACCGATGAGGATTAGAGGTCAGGGTCTGTTGTCGAGAGATAAGGAAAAGGACACTTGAACTCCGGAGTGGATATTCATGGGAAGTATTTCAGAGGTGTGTTGTGTCTTTTACGCCCAAACTAGACCATCCTTTTCCCCAGAGGTTATATAATGTGGATTTAAAAACAAGGATTGCATTTTCTCTTCTGAACAGGCATTAGGCTGTCGGTTCCCTAGTGTTTGTTTCTCGTTAATACCAGTAAAAAAAGGTGGTGTCTACTTAAAATCGGAACGGTATATTAAAGCATAGTGTCTGTCATCTCAGACCTCCCAGGAGTCGTATCATGGAATATCCCTGTAAATACACGGAGGAGACTTAGATGAATTGGAACGTAGGCTTTTAGTTTTCATGAGCTATGAATAAAAATTTGTAAATTTACTCTTGATCTAATGTACATTTTTATGTAGTCATTAAATTCTCTATTTAATCTATCAGTTTCTCACTGTAAATGTTTTTACTCTCAGTTGAATGCTGGGCACAGTTTGTAATGTATGTACACAAAGGTGTTTTTTTCTATCAACGTTGACTTTTTTGCACATTTTGGAAATATTTAATTTGTACACTGATTTAATACTCTGACCAATTGTTGATGGATGTATGAGAATCACGTGTGTGTGCAATGTACTACTGTCTGGATGTATGGTTTTTTTTATTACTTTTGAGATGTTGCTACCAGTAACTGCACTGCTGTTGCTGCTTTACATGGAATATCTTGTGTATGAAGAAAAAAAAAAAAAAAAAGATAAAAACAATTTCAAAATTAGCGTATGGTTATTTTGGTCGAGGAACTCAGGAGTTGAGCGTTGCTTACTAGTTCCGTTTGTCTAACAACCTTCCAAACTTAAACAAACAAACAAAACCCCCTTGTAATTCTGTGTATGCATTGAATGTGTGTGTGTATATATCCAGTAATCTTATTTCACAATTTAATTTTTACATTTTTAAGAACTTGTTTTTTAAGGGTACTATGTTTAGTTAGAATAATTAAATATATAAAAGATTTGAGAGATGATTTACTAGATAAATATATTTTCAGCTGGCTGATGTTCAAAATATTTTTTTAATTTTTGTTTTTAACCATTCAAAATGTATTTGTATTTCCAAAATCAGACACGAATTGTACTTAGAAATATATTAAAACACTCTGTAGGGACAACAGTGTGATTTCTCTTTTAAGAGTTTTGTACTTTAGAACAATGCGGAACGTCAGTCTCGTGCTTGAGTTTCCCGTTGGCTTGCCTTTTTTTTTTTTTTTATTTCTTTAAAATGTGCGGAAGCCTGTATTTAATTATTATTTAAAAAAAAAAAAAAAAAAAAAAAAGAAAAAAATAGTTCTCTGCCCTTCTCTTTCCGCGGGGGTGCGCGGCGGTTTCAGAGTCCCACTCCCCGCCGCCCCTCTCCCCCGCCCGCCCGCGCGTCCCCCCCGCGGCGGGGGCGGCCCCGGCACCACGAAATCGACGGGGCCGGTCGCTGCGTGTCTCCTCCCCGCCCGCGCGGCGGAAGTGAGGCGGCGGGCGCGGCGCGGCGCGGCGGCCATGGGCAGGAAGGAGCGGGGTGAGCGGCGGGGCCGGGGCCGGGGGGCGGCGGGGGGAGCGGGGCCGGGGGGTGGGAGCGGGGCGGGGGGAGCGGCGGGACCCCCTGGTGACCGCTCCGGCTTCGCTCCCAGAGAAGAAGAAGTCCAAGAAGCGGCACTGCGATGACGACGAAGACGAGGAAGACGACGCTCCCGGCAGGGAGTCGCAGGAGGCGGTGCCGTCCGCGGCGGGGAAGCAGGTGGAGGAGAGCGGCACCAAGCTGGACGAGTACGGGGCGAAGGACTACCGGCTCCAGATGCCCCTGAAGGCCGACCACGCCTCGCGGCCCCTCTGGGTGGTACGTGCGGGCGGCCGTAAGTCCGGCCCCGCAGGCCCCACGCGGTTTGTGGGAGGGCGGGGGCTGGTGCCGCCCGTGGGAGCGGTCGCTGCAGGGCCGCGGCGCTGGCGTCTGCAGCCCGGGGCGAAAGAGCCGTGAGGCGGGCTGGCCTCGCGCCGGTTGTCGTCTGTGCCCCGGGGGGGGACGGCGGTGGGGCTGGCCGCGGCCTGGCCGGCGGTGCGGGCGCGGGGGGAGGAGGCGGGTGCCGGTCACCGAGAGCGGTGGCACACAGGCGCCGGCTCTCCTCCTCCTCCGTTCCTGCGGCGTAAAATGAGCGAGGAGTTTGGTTTGTTTCAGGGGAATAGGGCTGGAAGCTGGCTTCTGCTCAAGCCATTTGCTTAGCGCTAAAAATGAAAAGAGACCCCGGCACGGCCGTCTGGAGAAGCTGAATCGGTCTGGGTGTGGTTTATTCTTAGTGCCGTAGGAGGGACGTGGACAAATTAACGTCTGGACCCTTTCAGAAGACAAAAGTTGTGCGTTTCTGTGCCTCCTCTCTTCTTTTTCTTGTAACCTCGTCATTAGGGCCGACACTTTTTTTTGAAACCCTGTCATGTGTTACTATCCAAACAGCAGACTGCATACCTTAACAGCAGCTTTATAGGAAATTACTGATCCTGCTCAGCTAACACTGTTGTTTCTTCAGCAATTCTTTTTATTTCCATAGGCTCCCGATGGCCATATTTTTCTGGAAGCCTTTTCTCCAGTTTACAAATATGCGCAGGATTTTTTGGTTGCCATCGCTGAGCCTGTGTGCCGGCCGACCCACATTCACGAGTACAAGCTGACTGCGTACTCGCTGTACGCGGCTGTTAGCGTTGGCTTACAAACAAGTGACATCACAGACTATCTACAAAAACTGAGCAAAACTGGTGTCCCGGATGGAATAATTCAGTTTATCAAGGTAAGACTTATATTGGTATTGGAAATATATCTACTGCTACTAGTAAAATCCTTCCCTGCTGCCGCTGCTTAATTGATTTTTTTTTTTTATTTAGTCATTGTTTTTACCTTCTTGTTCTATTCTGTCACTGTTCCGAGAGAGCAGAGGCTTTATCTTATTTTTTGTCTTTTTCTTTACTATATTGCTGTACACGTACTATTTTTACAATATGTCCTTTGTGGGATTTATAACTTTAAAAAATATATATATACCCAAGCATCTGCGTTCACACTTTAAGCCAGTATTTGGAGAAAGTTTCCTCAGGTTTTTTCTGGAAGAAGACTGAATGTGGGAAGCAGTCTGTAATAGCTGGGCGTTATAAAACAGACCCTACCTTGTCCTGCGAGTTTGTTCTTGCAGTCTTGGAAGTAGGTTGGAATTGAGTATCAAAACTGAATATCTGTGACCGATCTCCCGTGTGAGATGATGTGTGTGTCTTCTGAAAATACCTTTTCAGGTTTGTTCTATAGGCATAGCAGCATTGCAAGTAAATGTTTCATGATACCGTGCTTCCCTGCAAAGACCTAAGCTGCACTGCAGCATTTGGTTCCAAATGTGAAATCGCTCTTTCGCTCGTTCCTAATGACTCCTCTTGTTCGTTTGTAGCTGTGTACTGTCAGCTATGGGAAGGTGAAGCTGGTACTGAAACATAACAGGTAAGTGGCTTCTTCCTTAACTAATGTGGCAGAGGAAGTCCTCCGAGTGCCCAGCTGTGCATGAATGAGTGGTCTCAGTAGCTGTTGAGTCCTGCAGCCCCCAGCTGAGTGTAGCGTCTGTCAATACAAGATCACTTTTTCAGTTGCTGAAAATGTTTAATACATTAGTCAGTTAATTCAGTTTGACTGTCCTGAGCCACTCCTGGTTATTACATTTTTAAAAGTAGGTTGCAAATTTAATGTTCTAGCTTGCTTCTGTATTGCTTGGACTTGGAAGGTTTTCAGAGAGTTGTTTCATTCTTTCTTTCCTAATTTACATGAACCTGGTTAGCAAGTTTTTCTCAAGGTGTCCTTCAGTCTTGTCTATTCTGACTTGTAAACCATTATTTGTGAAGAACAAGCAAATCCATGGACAAGAGGTGCGTACTTGTTGCTGGGCTGAATCTGATTTGTTTCAAACCCAGAAGATAATGTTGGAAAGGACCTTGAGAGGTCAGCTGGTTTAGAGCTGACCAATTTTATCTAAACCTGTGATTCTGTGGTATGGAGAGGGAAAGGAAAGAGACAGCAGAAACCTGAAGCCTCTGTCTGTACCTTGCCTGTGTACTACACTCTTCCCATTTTAATTCTTTGCCAAAGTTCTCTGTTGTCCGACAGCTGCAGATAAGCTATGGGACTTACATAATCTATATAATATTATACTATATATAATGCTCTGTTTGTGCTGCTGCTTTTTTTGAACCTGCTGATTTGCATAGAACTAATGCTAGTATTGCTAGTAGGTTTTTGTCCTCTTCCTAGGTGTTTCTGAGAAAAAGATTTCTTCCACGCCGCTTAAGTCTCTTTTGGCTCATATTTTAACTGCGATCTCCAACCAGCATCGTTATTGATGAATCTCCAGGGAGGGAAACAATTTCAGGATGTACTAATTTAAATTTTTAGGTGTTTTTGTTTGGGGGGTTTTAGAGGTTTTGGTCCTGTGGGCAGGACTTTAAAGCACCACATCCAGTGTTTTCACAGATGCACCTCAATTCAGTCTCAAAAAAATTGACTTGTGTCACATGTAGCAAATAAGACACGTACGAGAGAGCTGTCTCTAGGCGGTTCTGCTGGAGTTTTCCCACTTGCGTTATGTTAGGGAACATTTGAGCAAGATGGATAACTGCATGATGCTTTTGGTATGAGACATCTTTTACAAATTTTGATTGCCATAATTTTTTTATTTTTAAATTACCACCCCCAAGATTGAATACTTGAGAATGCATCTGGGATAGCTGTATATTTAAGCATCTATACCACTCTTCCTGTAAGTTATTCGGTTGATTAGTTCATAAAAATGTTTTTCTTTGTTATTTAATTTTAGGTATTTTGTGGAAAGTACCCACCCTGATGTCATTCAGCAGCTTCTGCAAGACTGTGTAATTAGAGACTGTCGCCTGAGAAATGCTGAGGGTGAAGAAACAGAGCTCATTACAGAGACATTCACAAGTAAATCAGTGGTATGTTTGGGCACGTTTTAAAATTATCGAATTAACAGTAGATAAACTGCTTGAGTAGTTTGGAGTGGTTATTGCTTGCTGCTTGTATCGGCGGTTGCTTTCAGTTCTGTCAGCAATGATCTGTGCCTCCTTAATGAACTCAAATTGGGGGGTGGGGGTGGAGTGTGTAGGTAATGCAACCCTTGGTGAAAATTCCTGTCTATTTCAGATTGCCAAATCCAGTGAAGGTGGCTGTGGTCCGTCAACATCACAGGTAGCAGATGTTCAGAATAAACCAGATGTCGCAGCTGACTTATATGAGTTTTATGAACAGATGGACAAAGATGAGGAGGAGGAGGAGGAGGAAACACAGACGGTGTCTTTCGAAGTCAAGCAAGTATGAGCGTTTTAGTCTCTGCATTTGTAGCTTTGGGGAATGTGCCCAGGACTTGCAAAGCAGCTTGAGAACTTGAAGTAAAGTAGTACTGTGGCTCTTTGTTTGATAGGGGAGATCACTGGAAGCCATTGATATTTCTTTCCTTTTACCTTCCAAAATCTTAGAATCTTATTCTTTTGTACTAAGGGCAGCAGACTGGGTATTGTTCCTCCCTTGCCCCCAAGGCAGAGCGCTCACAGGCCAGAGAAAGGCTCCAAAGACCAAGGGAGGTTTCCCCATGTGCAGCTTAGTGTTGCTTTGTGCCAGACAAGTGAGAACCCAGTGGAGCACAAATCTGCTGTTGGTTTCAGAGCTTTTGTTTTGTTTTGTTTTGTTTTGTTTTTTTTCTTTTTTTTTCTGTTTTTGTTTTGTGATTCATGTTTGGCGAAGAAACTCCTGGTGGTTCTGACTGCATAGCTCGAGAAGGGTAGCTGGAGTTTGGAGCAGTCCTGGCTTGACCTTCAGAGAGCTTTTGTAGAATTTCTCAAGTTGTTTTGGGGCTCGGTGATTCTAATGATGCCTTCCTGGGGAAAACAGAAATTTTTAAAAAAGGTAACTTAGTAGCTGTTTTGCTTACTTTGAAAAACCCAAACCAAACCAACAACCTCTCAGTGATTGAATCAACATGTCATTGTGGTGGAATAACTGTTACCAGGGTACAGAGATTTTCCAGATAACAGATGTGCAGCTTGGGTAGGTCCTTCTGTGTAACACACAGAACCTTTTGTGTCTGTCGTTGA